GGTGTAGAGGACGGAGGGGAGGGAGGAGCGCCGAGGGCAAGACCAGCTCAGTCCCTGCGAACTTGCCTGGCAGATGTGGAGGCCGAGTCCAAGCACAGACTGGTGGTGCTGGAGAAGGAGCTGCTCCAAGACCGCCTGGGTAAGAGGGATTAGGGCTGGGGCCACAGAGGTGGTAGCGGGGCATTTCTGTACCTTGGGGCACTGGAGAGCTGGAGCTATGAAGGGGGGAGCTAAGCCAAACCCTGACCATTCCCCCAGTGCAAAGGGAGTGGGTGGTGAGGATTGGTGAGGGAAGCTACTTATTAAAATATTATTTTATTGGGCAGGCAGGTAGCACGGTAATTAAAGCACTGGACTCCCATATGGCCAACTAAAGTTCAAGTCCTGGACCTGAAGTCTTGCTTTCTCACTTTCTCTCTCTCTCTCTCTAGTAAAATTAAAAATTAATAATAATAAATAAAATTAAAAGAGAGAAAGCAAACCTCAGGTCTAGGACACGAACCTTAAACACCATGCCACCTGCTGATCCGGAGAAAAGATTTTATTATTTTGGGGGGAGGGGAGGTTTTTGCCATAGGGCACGTGTGCCCACCAGAAATAGAGACAGAGACAGTGAGAAGGAAAGTGAGAAATCACCCCCCACAGGGGGGATGGCCATGCTGCAATCCCTTCTCCTCCATTCTCCTCCTGGGATTTAGGCGTGCACGCACATGCGCCCAGCCTGAGTTTCAAGCCTAGACCTCCAACCTTGGTTGGCCATGTGGGAGTCCAGCAACGTAACCGCTATGCCATCTGCTGGCCCCTAGAAGTTATTCTTTTATAGTAAGAACATTTAGGGAGTTTTTTAGTAGTAATGGACTGCCCTTGAGAGTCTAAGAAATCAAAGAACCCATGGAGGAAATGAGAGGCCGGATGCCCTGCTTTCCAGCATCAGAGCTGGGCAGAGTCCTTCAAGCCCCTGGAGGCTGATTCAGAGGGACGCCCAGCCAGTCCTGAGGGCGGCTCTGGGACTTCACAGCTCTAAGGAGGGATGAGACACGACGAGCCAGGGCTGCTGAAGACCAGCTGAAGCAGAGGCTGCAAGGGCTAGAGGCTGAACTAGAAGAGGCCCGGAGTGAAGGGAAGGCCATATATGCAGGTGTGTCGTGGCGTGACCCAGTGGGCAGGAGCCAGGGGCCTAGAAGAGGGCCAGAGGACACAAGGAAGAGGGCCAAGGAGGGCTTCTGACCGCTGGGCCTAGTCCCAGCCTCCGCTGCACAGCGCGGATCAGGCAGGTTCTCGAAGGAACCAAAGGAAGGTCTTGGCCTCAGGCAAGAACCTGCTGCCAAGTGCTTGATGCCCTATGGGAGTACAGTGTAGTCACAGCCATTACTCCCGTCATCCCTTGGGAGTGAGTGGAGAAGGCTAGAACCCCCATCCTGAGCTGGCATGGGGGAGGGAAGACGGTTTTCCTGTCCCTGGCCCAGGTTCCCAGTGTCTCCCGGCCTCTCAGAACCAGAACCAAGGTGGCCTTCATACTCCCGTCCTGCTGCAGCCAGTAGCCTCTTGCCCACCCACAACTTCCTTTCTCTATCTCTCCATCTCCACCCGGGGCCCTGGCCACCTGCTGCCCCACTCAGAGATGAGTCGCCAGTGCCGGGCTCTTCAGGAAGAGGGGAAGGCCCGCAGCAGGCAGCTGGAGGAGGAAGTGAGGGGCCTTCGCGAGCAGCGAGGTAGGTTCCCCACCCTCCAAGCCCTTTCTCTTCCAGGGGCACTGACAAGGCCCAGCACGAAGGTGTGGACTTAGGTGCTTCTCCCCAAGCGCAGTCTGTCTGGTCAGATCACTTTGCCTGCTGTCGCCCTCACTGTGGACAGGCTCAGCGACTCATGATGGCAAGAACCTCTCCGTCAAGAAGAGCTAGGTCCACCTCCCATTTCGCTCAGTCTCTCCAAATCCAGCCCTCGCTCCTCCCACTGCCCTGTCTCTCATGAGCAAAACACATTCCCTCGTAGTTTAACTGATTTTTGAAAAAATTCACTTCTTCCATAAGTGAGAGAAGGTAAGAGAACATTCCCGATGGGGGTCTTCTCTCTCTCTTTTTTTAAGGATTATTTATTTATTTTTATTTATTGTTATTCTTCAGTTTGACCAGAGACAGAGAGAGGGAGAGGGAGAAACCAACCAAGCCACCAGGTCCGGGACTTGAATCACAGCTGGCCACATGGGAATCTAGGACCTTAACCACCATGCCACCTATCGGCCCCTTAATGGGGGCCTTTTTTTTTTTTTTTTTTTGATGATTTTTTGCTATTGGGGACGTGTG